TGAGGCAGCTTATCCCTAATGGAAACACTGAAGTGGAGATAAATCTGGTGTTATAGCATCATCAGACCACAGCAAGAGAGCCTATGTTCTTCTGACGAAGCAGCACAGAGGGGTATTCATTCCAATAATGAGTGGTGTATTCTCCACAGGACACAAGAGGACAAGGGTCATATGCTGGGGTGGGAAATTGGCAAGAGTATTTACACATTTCAGGAAGGTCAGGGAGAAGGAAATGTCTGAGTGGAAAACTAGACATTTCCTTGGCCATCCATGTAGCCCAGCCAGAGTGGGACAAATTCCACTGCTGCCACTGTCACTAAAGTTATAGCCCCTGTCATGAGTCAAGCAGGCGAAGCCAGGTACGGAGATTAAAAACGAGCCAGAGTGTGAATAGTGAATTCTCAGAGAAAGTACCCTGTAAATTTCTCCTGTCACGTCGCTTCAGCCTCATGATGCAGACTTATAGGAAATGAAAGTAGGAAAAATATCATGGCAATGTTCAAACTGCAGATCCACTGCCCTTCTCACCACCAGTGCTTACATTCAATGCTATGGAGACTGACCTTAGACATGCCTAAGATGGACGGACACAGAAGCACCTGAGGCAGAAGAATCTAGATAGCACAACAGCAAAAACTCCAGGTTGTTGGTTTTTTAAACCACTATTGCTATCTATAACTCCTCGAGAACCCTCAGCATATTTTTGTTAGTCTAAGGTATGTCTACATTACGGGACAAAGTCGAATTAAGATACGCAACTTCAGCTACACAATTAACGTCGTTGAAGTAGCTTAACTCGGCTTTTGGCACTGTCTACACAGCAGGAAGAACATGCTTCCTTGACTTCCCTTGCTCCTTGTGAAAGCAGGGTTACTGGCATTGGCCAGAGTGCCCTCTCACTTCGAATTTGCTACTTTAGCTAGACCACTAATTCGAACCCTGGAAGATTGACAGCAGCAGCTTTGATCTTCCTCTGTAATGTAAACATACCCTAAGGCAGCGGCGGATATAGGGCAGGGTGAGCGGGGAGGCTGCCCCGGGCCCCGCACTGCAATAGGCCCCGCGCAAGCTGCTGCGCGGGGCCCAAACGGCCGCTTCAGCCACTTGCTTCTGCATGGTGGCCTGGCTGGGGGGCGGGGCAGTGATGGACATGGCCAACGGGCAGGAGGCCAAGGGCATGACAGAGGCTCCAGGTCCTGCCCCCTGGCCATGTACATCACTGCCCCTCTCCCCTTTGCCTCCCGCTGTGGTGCTCGGTTGAATTCTGTGTCGCTCAGCAGGGACACCGTGTGGGGCCCAAACAGCTGTTTGGGCTGCACAAGTGAGAGGCAGGAGGGGGAGGACTAAGGAGAAGAGAGAGAGAGAGAGCAGGAGGAGGAGGAGGAGAGAAAGAGAGAGTGAGGCAGGAGGGGGAGGAGACTTAAATACAAATGAAAATTTTTAATTATTAATGCAGAATTTTGTTTAAGAATGACTTACAATATCATTAAAATAAAAATTATCCAACTAAATTAAGTTTCTATCAAATTTACCCAATTCACATTTAATATGAAAATAGCCTTCAATTTGCGCATTTGACACTTTTTTTCTATTTTTTCTCCAAAGGGGGGCCCCGCGAAATTGTGCTGCCCTGGGCCCCGCAAAACTCTCATCCGCTCCTTCCCTAAGGTGCCACTGGACTACTCAGTGTCCTGTAAGCAGATTCTCTGCTGTGCCTCGTTTCTGCTTGGTACAGCAGAGCTGCAGGGAGTGGGGGGCGGAGGTGGCAACCTGATTCTCAAAGCAGAGCTGCACTGTTCTGGGCCTGAGCATACGAGCCTCGAGGCTGCTCTAAATGATGCCAGCTATCAGTGTGGTTCCTCATGTACTGTCTGTTACCTGACATAGCCAAAGCACGGCACTCTCTAATCAAACACCTGTCCCAATGTGTCCCCAGGCCTGAGAGTGGGATGCAGGTCTGGCATAGGAAGCCCCTGAGAGTTCTTTCATGCTTCGGAAAGACTTTAGCTTGTGCTGGCCAGCTCTTTCCAGCACTAAGGGGCCAGAACACAGCTGAGAATCTGGCCCAATGAGTTTAATTAATAACATCCCTGTGCTGTTAAACTAATCGGCTCACTGTGAGCAGTAACAACTCTGAGACAAGTACAGATTTAAACCCCTAGGCACAAGAAACTAAGCATAGGAACAAACCATTTGCAGCTATATCTAAAATGAATCCATTTGTTGTAATGCTCAAGAGCATCTTTTACATCTCATGTCTTAGCCTGATGATCTGCAGTGCAAGAATGGAAAGAGATCTCTGCATCTCAAGACAGCGTGCTTACCGGGGAAAGGGAGTGTGTGGGGAGAAGGAAGGGGGGGAAAATCACAGAAGCCCTCAGTTCAGTGTACAGCAAGAGTAAAAGAAATAATGAGAGGCAAGAGGAAAGAACACAAACCAAGAGGTAATGCTCACTTTATAGGACTATCTGGCAGTGCTCAGATTCCCATCTGAAACTGTGTACAGCAGAGCTTACTAATGCTAGGGAAGGTGAGGCAGGGGCCAAGGATCAAAATCAATGAAGAACTGACTGGGCAATTGGAGCTCACTCTCCTGGCGAAACAGATGCCTCTGGATGACTATGAACAGTAGTGATGGTAAAGCCACTCCTGAGATACTAAAATACACTTTGCCCTGCTTCTACAGAACCTATACCTGCCAGGCATGGGGCAAAGGACCTTCAGCTGAGACTCACCATAGGCAGCTACCAGAGGCCATGTTCTTTGTAACAGTCTCTTTTAAAACTTACAGCAGGAAGGGGGGGGGGAAGATTTTGCCACAAACAAATCTATACAGAAAAAACAAACAATCAAATATCCACCTCTGAATGACATACCTGGTCTGTTTAAGGGGCGAGTCCACTCTCCCAATATTCAAGGGTTGCCCAGGTCTGTGAGGAGGACAGAGTGCAAAGTGTGGATTTCAAAGTCCAGCCTCCTCTAAAATACACGTCTGAAAAATAAAGCAGGGTGTTCGAAAGAATGACAGTCTCTTCAAAGTAATGATAGGAAAGGTTTGTCACGGGTAGTCCACGTTAGCACCTATGCAGAGTTATTCCATACATGACATTATATATATCTGCTGTGTAGATGTACCCTTAGGTGCTACAAGATTACTCATTGCTTTTTTAAAGTTACAGACTAACGTGGCTACCCCTCTGGGACTTCTAATTTGATCCTGTTACTCCTAGTTCTAAACTACTGATTACCACCTTATATACTTTGTCTTCTTTACAGGCATTCATATCCTTCAAAAATGTGCAGATGGCTATTGTATTCCCCAATGTCTGCACCCACACAGAGAGGTCAGCTAATGTTTAGCCAAGCAATATATATTCCTTATAGCGACTTTAATTATTCCTTGGGTCTTATACATCAGGAGTAGGAAATCTTTTTTGGGTCAAGGGCAGAGCCATCCCAAGCTACGGGCTGACCGGGCTACTGCCCAGGGTGCCCCATTGTAGGGGGCGCCCCGCGGGGCTGCCGGACCAGACGGGGGCAGGGCCGCACATGCGCCGGGTGCCCAGGGGCAGGGCCGCGCATGTGCCACACTCCCAGGAGCAGTGCCACACTCCCGGCGCCCCGGACGCACAAATGGCTCTGGCCGGCCCTGTTCAAGGGCCAGTGACCTACAGAAAAATCAGTCAGGGGCCACAAAGAAGAGAAAGCAAAAGCAAACAAACAAACAAACCTTCACTGACTTGGCCCCTGACTGAGAAGGGAAAGACACCCCCTGCATTCCGTCCGCATCCAGCCCCCAGGCCTGAGGTTCCCCACTCCTGTTATAAATCGATTGCTGTTGCTCCTCTTTCAGTGCCAACAGGTTTTTGCATGTGTGGCTTTCTAACAATATCAGTGGCCAGCTCTAATAGGTTTATAAAGGTTAGGTTTTTTTACTCCATAAGATACTGAAGTTTTTCAATTTCCACTGCAACATATGTGTTTTCTTCTGCGCAAAATGAAACTATAAAAGTAGATTGTAGGCTCAGTTAAATGCAAAGGTGCTGCTAAAGCAAATTTGCAAAGAATGTACACGTACTCTCAGGTTTTGCATTAGGGATGTTAGCTATTGGTTATTTTACTAGTCGAGTAGTTGATGGAATTTCCATCGACACTTGACTAGTCAATAGGACTTCCGCATTCCTCCTTTGAAATGTGCCAGAGCCCCCAATGGGGCTCTGGTACATTTCAAAGAAGGAATGCAGAACTCGGGGCTGAATGCTGGTGTGCCAGTTTTGAAATGTACAAGAGTCCCCACCAGGGGCTCTTGTGCATTTCAAAGCGGAAGTGTAGCATGGAACCTGGAGTCAGCGGGGGACTGAGTCCCGCTGACCTGGGCTCCATGCTGCGCTGACGATTTGAAATGCCACACGGAGCCCGAGGTCAGCTGGGGACTCCCCAGCTGATCCTGGGTTTCACAGAAATGCCATGCAGAGCCCAGGATCAGCTGAGGAGTCCCCAGCTGACCCCAGGGTTCATGCAGCACTGCCACCTAAAGCGCTTCCTTGGCGTTTCAAAGGGGCAGAACCATACAGCTGAGCCCAGGATCAGCTGTGCAGCGCTGCCACTTTGAAGTACCCTCTCTTCCCCTCCCTCTATCTGATAGAGGCAGCAAGGGGGGGGTGGGAAATCAACTAGTCCTTAATGTCGCTATTTTGCATAGCTCATCTCACACTTCTCAGTTGCTTCCATCTCTACACGTTCATGAATTCTGCATCATTTGTCCTATATTTATTAACAGGACATGGCTGTCTGCAGACTTGCTGTAATCCACCAGAGGGAGAGTCTGCCAAGCAAGGCATGATGAGTTCTTCCTCCTGTTACATGATACTGGCAGAAATTAAAAGAGTATTCATTAGTAATCTCACATTTCTCTCCAAAAGGATACCAATTATGTCATCTCATGTATCGCAAGATTAGACAGCTCTGGAGGAGTCAAACTACATCAGAAAACTACACGATTAGATGACAATAAACTTCTTTAATGCTGGGTGAAATATACAGCAATCAACATGGGTTTCACACAAATGGGTGATAGTGGTCACAAACCTTTATTTACAAAGACATTACAACAGGACTATAAATGCAAACACAGAAGGTTTTTTTTCCAGCCTGTTCTCCTGCCTGGTGTAAGACATACACACATTTTTAAGCCCAGACCATGCCCTTTATTGACCTGTGCAGTATATGGTGCTGAAGAAGTGCTCAGTGGTCCTAAGATGACCATACTCTGGAGACCATCTTCAAATTTCTGAGGCCTTGCAAGAGCCATGGTGAGGAACTCAGTCAGATCAGAACTCAACATTGCTACAGGACAATCATTCAGTGCCAGCTTTATCTTAACTCCATCTTGGGTGCATTTGTTAGGTTATGTCTACACTACCCCCCTAGTTCGAACTAGAGGGGGTAATGTAGTCATACGGAGTTGCAAATGAAGCCCGGGATTTGAATTTCCTGGGCTTCATTTGCATAAAGCCGGCCGGCACCATTTTTAAATGCCGGCTAGGTTGGACCCCGTGCCGCGCGGCTACACGCGGCACGGACTAGCTAGCTCGGATTAGGCTCGTTCCACGAGGCATACAGCTAGTTCGGATAGGAAGCCTAATCCGAACTAGCTAGTCCGTGCCGCGTGTAGCCGCGCGGCACGGGGTCCGACCTAGCCGGCATTTAAAAATGGCGCCGGCCGGCTTTATGCAAATGAAGCCCGGGAAATTCAAATCCCGGGCTTCATTTGCAACTCCGTATGACTACATTACCCCCCCTAGTTCGAACTAGGGGGGTAGTGTAGACATACCCTTAGATGGACAAACTCTTCCTCTTCACTAGGTTTGGGAAGGGAGACAGTCCTATATTTAAGGTTGGATGCAACAAATGAGGAAAAAGGCTTCATCAGCTCCTTCTTCATGCTACAGCCTTGTCCTAGCCTGGGACATTTTGGATAAACCCTACACACAGGACCCGGATTTCACTGTACTGCTCCAGCAATGTAAAGCAACCATAACTTGGTTTAGCCAGCCAGCAAAGCAGCCTGAAGCACACTACTCAGTATAAGCTATGCTTTAGCAGTGTGATCAAGTCAATAGCGCATTGGCTAGTGACTTAGAATAAATGGGCTCTGACATACTGCATGTCCTTTGGCAAGTTACTTCAACTCTCTGTCCCTCAGTTTTCCCATCTGTAAAATGGGTTATGATATTGCCCTCATTTGTAAAATGCTTTCAGATCTCCTGGGGAAAAGTGCTAGATAAGACTTAGGTGATATCTCTTACATTCAGAAAACGTATGAAATTAATTCTTATTTTCTTTGGATCAAATTCACTCCCCTGATTTCAAGGGAATTGCAGATGAAATTGGCCTCTTGTTCTTTGGACCTGGTCCTCAAGGAGACTGCATTTGTTTCCAAGCTAAACTGTGCTCTTAGCTACACCAGTGTAAATCCTAGAGCAACCCCACCTGAATGTAGTTAACCCAGATATGGAACTGTAGTTGGGAGAAGTCTTTGGCCCCTGCTGTTGACGGAAAAGGAGGGGTCCACATGTATCAGTCAGAGATGTTTGAACAATGTGCTCTATGTTCCTCCTTTGTTTCAGGAGAGTGTCCGGGAAAATTCATTGTTTCAGGCAGCACTCGAGCTCAACGCCATAAGGGTTTGCACTCTGCATGATGCTCCTCACCAGCATTACAGGTTTGGGATCTTTTCCAGCAAAGCATGAGAGCCAGGTACAGATCAGCATGGCTGCAGCTGCCCCACCTCCCATGCAGTAATATGCCCAGCCAAGCCTGCAGGTTCCTGCAGGGAGAGAAAGAAGAGAAATCAGGAACCCAGTACATGCTGTGTCAGTCATACTACAGCCCTGTGTTATCTCGGCACCTCCCCAGCCTAGTGGGAGAAAGACAATGGTTACAGCCTGGTGCACAGGGTATATGCATAAACTTTTACTGAAATCATCTTTACATTCAAGGCCCTTCAATCCTACCCATCATCTCTCAGACACTGTAGTGATGCTCAGGGCCATCCTTACCCATAGGCAAAATAGCAGCTGCATAGGACACCTGAAAATTTGGGGCACCACTGGGTCTTAATGTCCACCCACCCACCTCTTAATATCCCTGTGCCATGGCTCTTTTCCCCCTAAGGGATCTAGTTAACTTAAAAGTGAAAGAGCCTGCCAGAGCTATTAGCATGGGGATCTCATACACCTGGCCATGGACCATCCCCAGCTGAAGTGACTGAACAATGTGAAATGAGTGCATTCGCCCCGGGTGCCCCATTTCCCCTGTGCATCCTGCTCTGTGGGGAGTGTAACCACTGCCACCATGCAGCACCACACCTTCTGGTGATCCCCAAAGCGGTGTCTTCATGGATGGGCTGCTATGGGTGGAGAGGATGGGTCATCGGCAGGAAAAGGCAGGGATTGGGGGCTGGTAATGACAGTCCCCTCCCACCCACTGGGAGTCCCAGACTGGATTGTGCAACTCGCGCGGATTTGAAACCCTGTCATAGCATAACATTGAACCTGTAAAAGAGTCATTCAAGTGGCAATGAAGCTATTTAACAGGCAGTTGCCAACCCTAGGTATGTACTGTCAATTCCTGAATTTCCCATATTAGTCTAGAAGACATTCATTAAAATTTGCTTTAAAATATTTCACGAGTGTGTGGCTGAAGATTATAAAATCACATCTCAAAAAAATCATCCCTCCCAACTGCCATTGGGCACAGGAACACCAGTTCAATAGTACTGCATCAGGCCCCATAAAGCCTAAAGACATTCCTGGCAATGCTGGTTCCTTCCATCCTTCACTTCCCACTCCTTAAATTTTCGAACAAGTCCCTTTGTGCTTTCTTCTTTGCTGCTTCTCTACACCCTGTAAACCAGCATTTTTGACAGTGTTATGCAGAACCACTCAAACAAAATGAACTGGCCTCCCCGGTTTGTTTACTTACTGGTGCCGTGGCCACGGGGCCTCACAGCTCCCATTGGCTCTGTTTCACTCTTTGCGCCAAGCGGAGCAGCAGGAAGCGGTGGCCCGGCCCACACCGCTTCCCACAGCTCCCCTTGGCTGCAAAGGACAAAACGGAGCCAATAGGCTCCGTGGCCACGGCTCTGGTAAATAAACAAACTGGGGCAGCTGGTTAATTTGTTTCTCAAAGTGATTCCATGGAACACTTTCAGAAACACTGCTGTAAACACCTGCAAATCCACTGCAGTGTACCCCTCCAAATCCATCCTTGAAATCCTCCTCAGAAAAACAAAACAAAACTCAGCAATGGTTTGCTCAGACTGCTACCTACCATGCTGGCCATGCTAGTCCAGTCTTATACTTACTCCTCATATTATTAGTATTATTTATTTTTGTTGCAGAAGCAGCTAGAGCTCGCTAGGCTGGGCTCTGTGTGCATATACAACAACAAAAGAGACACTACTTCCAAAGGCTACGTCTAGACTGGCATGATTTTCTGGAAATGCTTTTAACGGAAAAGTTTTCCGTTAAAAGCATTTTCGGAAAAGAGCATTTAGATTGGCACGGATGCTTTTCTGCAAAAGCACATTTTGTGGAAAAGCATCCGTGCCCAATCTAGACATGCTTTTCCGTAAAAAAGCCCGGATCGCCATTTTCGCAATCGGGGCTTTTTTGCGGAAAACAAATCTCAGCTGTCTACACTGGCCCTTTTGCGCAAAAATTTTGCGTAAAAGAGACTTTTGCCTGAACGGGAGCAGCATAGTATTTCCGCAAAAAGCACTGATTTCTTACAGTAGGAAGCCAGTGCTTTTGCGGAAACTCAAGCGGCCAGTGTAGACAGCTGGCAAGTTTTTCCAGAAAAGCGGCTGATTTTCCGTAAAAACTGGCCAGTCTAGACACAGCCAAAGAGTTTACAATCTAAGGTGAGACCAGTAGACTTACAAGAGAGTAAAGCTGGGGTCATACAGTGTTTAATCTTGTCCCTTTTTTTTATGCAACTTTTTGTTTTGTTAAAACTTTACTATTCTATACTTATCAAATCATTGACAGAGCAAGCACTACTTCTCCAATGGAAACCATGGCATCTGGTTGCCTTTCAGCTGGTGATACACTGAGGGCAAAAATCACACCATGGCATCTGGTCACTTTGAGCGGGTGAGACATGCTTCAGGCTAAAGTTACACAGCAGCCCAGAAGAAAATCCAGGTCATTAACATAGGCAGTGGAGGTCTAAGGGGAAGCTTCTCTTTGCAAATGCTCATGGCAGATTCCTATATCCTGCTTTGGTTTCTGCATGAGTGGATAGAGAGGAGTAGCCAAGTCAAGATCTGCTACGTAGGTCTGAGTTGAAAATTTTGCCCTGAAAGCAGAACAAATTCTAAGAGGAGAAAATAAATCATCCAGCAGCGATGCTCTACTTTGAAGTAGGAATAAGAGATCCTCCGGAAAAGGGCTTTATTCCGGAGGATCGCGCCGGTCTAGACGCTTTTTTCAGGCTTTTCCCCATGTTTATTTAAATCCCGCGGGGGATATTTAAATCCCCCGCGGATTTCCCTATTCTGAAGTTGGAAATTAACATGCCTCTTCCGGAGAAGGGGCCAATGTAGACGTAGCCATTTTGAAATAATAACTCCTAAAATAACTATTTCAAAATAGCCCTGTCCACCCTACAGGAAGCCTCGAAATTAGTTCAAGGCAGGCTCCCTTAATGTGGATGTGCTGTCTTGACTTAGAGCCCCAGGAAGCACTGGGGAGTAATTACTTTAAATGACTCTGCGGAGAAGTTATTTTGCAATAGCAGCAGTGGAGCGTCCACACTGCTGCTCTTTCAAAATAACTATTTTGAAATAAGTGTTATTCCTCATGGAAAGCATAATAACCAGCCTGTTATCATATATAGTAGCCCATTGTCTGTGCGTGGTAACGCTGACGCACACGGCCATGCCCCTGACTGTGTACGTCAGCGCCCCGCCCCCCTTCCCCTCCCTCCGTGGCGGTTCGGCGCAGCGCTGTGCTGGGCCCTGGCGGGGGAGCAAGCGGTGGCAAGTGGCCCTTTGGGGTCCATGCTCCCAATGCATGGGAAGCGTGGACCCCAAACGGCCGCTTGCCGCCCTGGGCCCAGCTGAGTGGCAAAGGGCCGCTTGCCTCCACTTGCTCCCCCGCCGGGGCCAGGTGGGAGCTCCGCTCAGCTGAGCAGTGCAGCACGCCATGGGGGGAGGGGAAGAGGGGTGCAGGGCCCCTCAGGGAGGGGAAGGGGGCAGGGCTGGCCAGAAGGGGGGTGGGAAGCAGAGCTGGCAGGGGATCAGGAGCTGTGGGGATTGAGGGGA